AGTGATTTTTAGCATAGACTAGTGGATCCACTTAGTGAGTAGGTATTATACCCTGGTAAAGTATAGGACAGTTCTGGAAGCGTGGGCGAGATGTTGTATCATCACATAGCTCATAGTGATGGTTGTCAGTTAGAGAAACTCCCACAGAGATATTTTTAGTTTTATATACACAGAGTTTACTTGTATTTCACATATAAACAAAGTTTATATTGTATCCTTGCATACAAAATGAGTATATTGTATTCTTAAATACATTGAGTTACTTTTTACTGTTTTAAAAGCTTTACATATATTGCATATCTTATTGTTGCTTTATATTGAGTTGAGTATCAAGAGTTTGAGTACCAAGAGTCGAGTGTCTTATCATTGAGTTGATCTTTATTTCTTGAGTTAAATATCTTATTATTGAGTTGAGCCTTATTTCACTGAGTTGAATATTTTATCTTTGAGTTGAGTATCTTATTCCTGAGTTGAGAAGAGGTAAGTATGTTTCCTTCTTATCAAGTTCAAGCTTATGTTATGCTTTAGAATTCCCCTTACATGCTCGTACATTCCACGTATTGAGCCATTTGGCCTGCACCATTTCATAATGTAGATACAGGTATTCAGGGTCATCAACATGCGCTTCGTTGATACCACATGCAGTTCGAGTTAGCTATGGTGAGCCTCCTTGTTTCAAGAGGATTTCATTTACTTTTCAGTTTTGTCAGGATGTCATGGGTCTTGTTTCGACTTCCATCTTTGTCAGTTAGAGGCTTCGTAGATAGACTGTAGAATTTGAGAAGTTTGTTTCATTTATCTTATTAAATGTATTAAAGACTCGAGTGCCTATTGTTGGCTAGTTGGATATTATTATTTATATTTTGAGTTGTTCATTTGAGTTAAAGATTTTCAAAGTTGAGTTTTATTGAATTTTATTCAGTTCTTAAGCTTTGTATGCTTGAGTTAGTCTTCCACTTGTAGTCAGCCAGGATAAGGGTTCGCTTGGGGACCAACAATGGTTCTCGAGTACCGACCACGTCCAGAGTGTAGGCTCGGGTCGTGATACTGGCGGGACAGTGGCCCAGTAATTTCCCAAAGTTTTGCTTTTCCTAAATAACGACGGTTGGGGTCGTTACAGATCCACAAGTGGAACCATTTGAGGAGGAGTCCTCAAAGGGAACATTAATTGAGGCACTTGAGTAGGATCTCTTGAAAGAGCCATCAATGGAGCCGTCAGAGGAACCATTGATGTTGGTGTTACATCAAGAACCAAATTAAGAGGAGCCCTTGGCTTCTTGAAGTTGGTCCCACTAGGTACAGTAGATGGAACCAAAAGAGGAATCTCGGATAGTATTGGAGCATCAACAAGGGCCAAAAGAGGAGCCCATGGCATGTCGAAGCTTGTCCCACCAGAATCCATCGGTCCAGCGATAGGTTGAAGAGCATTTGATGTTGAACCTTCTTCGTGAGTTTTTGCTTTGATCCCATCATTTATCAGCTTGAGGTTTTTATTGATCATATAACAGAGATCGTATACTCCATTTTCTTGTTTTCCTTCCTTACGTTCTCAAGTTCATTCTCAATTTTCTCGATCCTTTTCATGGTTATCTTTTCTTGTGTTTTCATGTTTTTTGATTTCCTCTCCTCTGGAAGATCGATAAACTTTGTAAAGATACCGGTAGTAGCTTCATGATTTGGAAACACCTCAGGTTCATTGTGGTAAGGGCTATTGATTAAGGTAGCCAATTCAACATCGCAAAGGGTGTTGAGTTCACGAGCCTTGGTTAAGAATCCCTTTTGTCGTTTTCTATATGAGACTCTCCTCTCAGTGTTATTTTCCATGAAAGCCAACTTCACTTTCTGTCTAACCATGATTAAAAATGAGGAAGAGGAGGAGAAATGTGTTTATTAGGATATGGGGGATGAAATGGATTTATTATTCTTATTGTTGTTGTGTGTTGCTTTGCTAAGAATTGCCTCCTGTTTATAGGGTACAAATAATTTTTTAAATAATTTGAATTAGAGAATACATAGTTGTCATGGGTACTATTTTGGCGTAAGAATAAATGAGGGTATATTTGATATCAAATTAGATTCCATCATCTTGAGATTAATGTAGTTATGACTCTAGTCTTATGTAGAACAAATCTTTTTGAGTCAAACTTTTCTTATTAGGAAAATAATTTAATTGATTTAGATCTAAGTAAGTAGTATCTATAAAAAAAATGGTTATAGAGTATTAACAAATGTTTTCTAAAGAAAGATTGAAAATTTGTATATTTTAATTTATGGATGTAAAAAAGATAAATATTGAAACAAGTGAAAATTGAAATATTGGCCAAGAAAATTGAAATATTAATTTTAACAATATTTAAATAATATAATACAAATTAATTTAATGATTTATAAAATTCAAATATTTATTGAATATTAAATGAAGATATGTGTATGATTATTATCGTTGCAGTGCTTATAAAAGCACATTATAATTTTTTCCAATTTTGGAAGAAACCATATTTAGTAGAAACTTTATATTGATTTCAATTATATTAAAAAATCAAATCAAGCTCAAATTTTAGTTTTTTTTTACATTAAAAATATTTCTAAATTAGTTTCAAGGCAAATTTGTACATAAAATAATTACACTACACACCTACAAACTATTGTGTTTAAAGATATTGAGGAAAGAAAAATAGAAAATTATTTCATTTTAGAATAGTATTCAATTATATTAAATACTAGACCATGCTCAGATTTTGTTTCTTGTTAGATTAAAATTAATTCTAAATTATTTTGGAAGCACATTAATCTATAAAATAATTGCACATGACACTTACCAAACTAATGTGCTTTTGTTTCATTTTAAGGATTGTACTCAAGATGAAGAGGAGGAAACAGTCATAAATTGTCTTAATAATATTTTATGGATTTAAAATAGACATTTTATGATGACTTTTCTCCATTATGTTGTGATTGAATTATGAAATTCTATAAAAATTATGTTGGCTCTGTTACAAGAGCTGAAATATATCATTACTTTATGGCCTTAGATTAGCATGGAAATATGGAGGCTATACAACATATCAAAAATAGTAACTCTCGATACACTAACATCTTAAATAAGTGCACATAATTGATCTGCCCTTATAATGTTGTTTTATTAATTTGTTGGATGTTGTATCCTAGTCGGACTATTTTGTGATTGTATCGAATTTGTGATGCTTAAATTGTGTTTAAATCAGTCTTATTTTTTATTCTCACTGTGCCCGATAGATAAAGTGACAACTTTCGTAAGGACAAATCGTCATTTGGTTGAGAGTATATGTTGTGAGGGGTTTGTGTGGTGAAGCCTGAGTAGTTATATCTCGAAGGGATGTATGAACTTGCTCGGTGATGAATATGGTGACATTTTTTTCAGGGTGAATTGGCGTCTTTTTGGGAGGATATGATTTGTTTGGTACTAATAAATGGTCTTGCAATGAAGAAAGAAAAAGTGAGCACCCCCTCAAAATTATTGAAAATGAATGCATGATGTGAATAATCTTGTGACAACTCTTTGACTATCTTTGTGATTTTTGACTCATTCGTGGTTATCAAGCATGATATCATTTGTTCTTGTGAGGAAGTAAAAAATCAACCATCTTGATTAATTTGCATGTCATATGTGGTGAGGTTGTTGAATAAACTCTTGTATTTACTTGTTCCATCTAGAACTTGTCCGGTTGGTTTTGATTGCTTTTAATTGGAGAAATGATCTTAGCCTTTCTTTGTGATTTTTGAGAAGCCCACTATACCTAAAAGCCCTACCATTGCACTAAATGTATCCCTAGTTGATTCCTTTTGAGCCTTATAGTGTTTCTTTGACAACCACATTACAAGTCTTACTCTTTTGAGAAAACAAAACCTCTTTTCAACCCTTCCCTCTTTGAACTCTAAAAGTTGGAAATTGAGGCTAAAAGCCTAAGTTGGGGGTGATGAAAATCTATAAAGGTAATGCTAACCACATGGTGGCTTGAATACCCTTCGCCATAGAGAAGGCCCGTAAAATAGTAACCTAATCTTTTTACGTACTGTAACTTTCAAGAGTTTTATTCTATTTTCGTAAGGGGTCCTCCTAAGGATGTCATAAGTCATATTTTGAGTAAAGAAGAAGGATGATATTGTAATGAGGATTAAAAATGTGTTGCTAATAAATGGGTCTTAAAACAAGTAAAAAAGTAGTTAGCTTTGAAATAAATATTAAGCTAGTAGTTTTGAATAAGTTCCATGAATTCGGTGAAGGTTACTTGGATGCTTAAGGGTGGGGGAAACAACCGTGATAACTCATATATAGACTTTACTTAATTTCTAATATGTAAATATGAGTTGTATGACATAATGATCGGTCTTTAAACATAGTTGTGTTTTGTGAATGGTGGAAATTGGAATTAATGATTACTTATGATTATTATATACTAGTTTTGGACACGTGCTTCGCACATGCATAATTAGCATATGTCATTACTTAATGTGTACTAAAAACAATACTAACATATACCTAAACAGGCTAAACTGCATACATACTCTTGAGTATTTTAAATTAAATTTATAGTGTACAACCATGAAATTTAAAAGTGATAAAAGGTGAATGAGATGATTATTCTAATTTCGACATTCAGTAACTCGACATGTTTTTCCATCTCTCAAATTTTTAGCTTTTATTTGCTATTAGTATTCTTGAATTAATATTTATATTTAACCAAAATGTCATGATATAATGATTTTATACCATACTTTAATTATAACTAAATAATTGTAATAAATTTTCACCTTTAGCTCATAATTCTCTGTAAACTTTCTTTACACGGTTCACAAATATGATCATTCAAGGATAAATGCACACAAAAAATATGTTGCTATTAATTTGGGATCCTATTAAATTTAGATAATGGCTATAATTGTCTCCAAAAGTCTTATATTAACTTTTTCATGGATTTACTCTTACTATCAAAGATACGGCGAAGGGTCTAAAATGCCCCTCAAGTATTCGAATTGGTACAAAATTACCCTCCATTCACCTTTCGGCTCTAAAATACCCCTGACGTCCACCTTTTGACTAAAAAATATCCTCGACGTTAATCATTTGACTCATATTTATCCTTATTTTCAATAGCATCCTTAAAGTAAAATTATTAAATATTTATTTATTATATTGTTTAATGTGATTTCTCAAATAAATAATAAAAATGATATTTTTTTAAAAATATTTTTTTATAAAACAACATATGATTCATATTTTTACCCGATACACTTGAAAATAATATTAAAAAAAATAATTAATTTCATGAGATCTTCATATCAGCCTTTTTTAAATCAACCCCCAATTTATTATAACGTAACCCAACTCATAAATGGAGATCCAACTAAAATTCATATTCACCCCGACCGATTGTCCATCTAAAAATTTTTTTTTTTTCATTAAATAAAATTTTCTATCAATTATCCAAATGTCTTGTTCATTTTCTATTTTATACCTTTTTTTAATCTCTTATTCTTAATTAGGATATCCGGGACTCAAACTTGAAATCGAACTCACATGTTTATATTCTTTTAATTTGTATTATTTTTATGGTGGGATGAAGGTGAGGATAAGAGAAATAGTTATTTTTATTCTTTTATTTTGAATTTTGGGTACACACAAAAGAAAAATGTAATATTTGTACATATTTGCTTAATTAAATTATTTTTTATTGAACTAATTATTTCTATATGAATGCATCGTTATTTTTCTTCTTTTTTTCTCTCTTGTTTTTCATAAATTGAAAAAAAGATTAAAATGGTAAACAAGATCCAAATAGAAAAAAAGAAATGGAAGAGATAGGAAGTGAAGGGTAGGGGTGGGGTGGGTGGAGGTGTATAGAGTAGATGCCTAACCTTTTTTTATTTTTAATTTACTATAAAATTCAAAATCAAGTCAATCATGTGAGCTTATATATTAAGTAATTTCAAATTATTTTAACGGAAAATGACCTAAAATGCCCTTAAACTATATGATTTGGTACAATATTGCCCTCCATCCACCTAATGAGTATGATCCGTTAGATATAAGGGTATTTTTGAGCCAAAAGATTAATGTCATGGGTATTTGCGGGCCCTAAGGTGGAGGTGTCATGACCCAGACTGTCGTGATTGCCACACTAACTCTTCGGTAGGAGAACCACTACTACAACCCAAACCAAGCAAATAATCTAAAAACTAAGGCATTTAAATCAAACACTAAGGAAATAAAAATAGAGTTCCCATAAACTCTAACAAAAGTCTAACGATAATAACTAACAATGCGGAAGAAATAACCTAGAACCTGAAAGTCAATGTACCAAAACATCTAACAATGATCCAAGTCTAAACAAGAAGGGATACAACTCCATACTAATGAACTAACTAAAACCAAGGTCTAAGTCCGGAAATGGTGGACATAGACGAAAGAGAACCCATGGCAGCCAGGAAGAATTGCATTATCAACATTTACGAACAATGAGCAATTTCACATTTTATATCAAATCATTGGTCCTCTCATGGAACCCAAACCCAAACAGTTAGCATGCTGAAACGTGGCAACCGATCCATTGATTATGCTGGAACATGGCAACGGATCCCATAATTATGCTGAAACGTGGCAACCGATCCCATATTTATGC